TCATCAACTGACATGATAAATTGAAATTCCTCATACAACTAAGATAACAAAAAGCTAATATATTTATATATTATATATCTATAATTATTTATCTTTATATATTATATATCTATAATTAATGTAACTATAATACATATACATTATATCCTTTAATATCAACACATATTTATATCTATTTTGTATTGCATGTATGTTATATATTATGTATGATTATGTATAATATATTTATACTAATATATATGTATATATATATATATATATATATATATATATATATATATATCATGATGTTTGAGTCTGAATTCAGTATCTGATTCTAGGTCTGAGTCCAGCTCTGATTTTGTGGTCTCGCTTCCATTTGGGACACTTGAATCTTCCTATTTTGGGTCTCCTGTCATTGCTGAGATACCAGGTGTTTATCTGTCTACATCCACATTCCCTGCTCTGAGAGTCTCTTGGACATTTTTGCCCAAGCTGACCTCCAGCCACAATCCTCTCATGCTCAGCCTCCCATATAGCTTAGTGTAACAAATGTGCATTCCTGAGTGTCCATTGGTGGGATGAGAAAGGGGTCTCAGAAACTTTTCTATTCTGGCTGCCCTGGAACCTAGATTCCCCAGTTTTCATCTCCCAAGTAGTGAGATACAGGCCTTAGCCTCCAGTGCCTGGCAAGAGATCATTATCTGATTTTCCAGAAATTAATGTGATAAAATCATACAGTGTGTTCCACCATGCTAACTACAAGTTTCTTTGACTCCTTACTTTGGCCATATGTGGTTTCAGTTCTGTGTTTAGGTGTGATCTTCAGTTCTGTGTTTAGGTGTGATCTTGAGATCTGTGTAGGTATGATCTTCAGTTCTGTGTATAGGTGTGATCTTTAGTTCTGTATTTAGGTGTGATCTTCAGTTCTTATATCTAATCATATTCCCAGTTCTGAAGTCCATGCAATCTTAGTAAGCACAGCCAACTCAGCTTTAGTGTGCTTAGTGTTTGCCCCCCGCTTATGTTTTTCCTTTCCACTTCCCTGTGTGTTTGTGTTTAAAATGTGTGTCTTGTAAACTGCGTTTGAATGAGTCTGCCTGACTTTTTCCCATTTGACAATCTCTGACTCTTAATTGGATCATTGAACCCAAATATTTTTTTTAATTTTTTGTGAACATACTGTACAGAGGGGCTACAATTACATGGGCAAGATAATGAGTACATTTCTTATCAAGCATTGCAGCCTCCTCCTTTGTTTACCCTTCACATCCCTTCCCAGCCTCCTCCCCTCCGCCCGAACCCACCTAATTTTAATGTCATTATTGATGTGCTTGAGTCTAATTAGACCTTCTTGTTATGTGTCTTCTATTTTTCAATACTGTTGTTTGTTCCAGGAATCTTCCCTCACCGCTAAAAATTAAAAGTGAAATTTTAAAATGCCTCTTCAGCATTTTATTCAGTGTATTATACACCTAGTTTTACAGTGATTATTTCAAGGATTACAAGATGTTTCCTTAAGTTTTCAGATATCTTGAATTAATACCACATCATTTCACTTGAGATGAAAAAATGTATCATTCAGTCATGTTTTCAATGACAAGCCCCAATTCCATAATACTGGTTGGTCAGTGCCCAGTCATCCTGGGTTTTATCTACCTTAACATTATTTTAAAAATTTTGTCTTGATTTTTAAAGAAGACTTTCATGGATATGGAGTATTTGCTAAGCAGGTATTTGGATGAAAGCTCAGCAAATGTCACCTCATTGCCCTCTGCTTTCCATTACTTGGGCTGAGAAATTCACTGTCTTGATTTTGTCTTTTGATATCATTCATTACATTGCCCTACATTCTTTTTATTTCTTTATTTGGTTACATTACTTTTGTCGTACTGTCCTCCTTTGCATCCAGTTTTTAAGGCATATTTACAGCATTGTCACCTAGTTTTGTTTTCATTGTACTTATCAATTTTTCCCCTTAGATATATGCATTAACATTTTTCTAAAAGTTTTATAATTCTTAACCATTATGATTATTTCACCCATTTTTCTCTCATTCTGCATCTTTTTATTATTCCCTAAGTCATTGTGGCTTTGTTTATTCATTTCAGTATTTTTGTCTACATGAGCCAGACAATTTATCTCTATGGTGATAGATCAATATCATAGATGATAGAAAGACAGATACACAGATACATAGGCAAGAGATATATGTTTACATGCATATATACACATAAATACATAGACACATATGTAGATATTTACCAGTTGTCAGCCACTTCTGTCCATAACAATATCAACTATATGACACTATTTTTTTTACCAAATCTTGGAGATGCTCTAAAATGAAAAATGCCACATATATGATTAAAAGAAGTTCTGTCACCTTGAATTTGCTTCTTGAGCAAATTTGTCTAAAAGAAGTATATGAACTGCCAAGATTATTAATAAGTTGAGACATTTGCAGTGATGTTAACAATATGATAACATACAAAATGAGAAATTCTAAGTACATTTAACCCTACCTTACAATAAAATTAAAAAATATGAACCCACATTTGGTAGCTACCACAATATTCACTTATCTGATCATTAATACATTTTTTTTTCTTTTTGAGAAGCCTGTAACTATTTTGAAACACAAATATTGTTATATTACAGAAACTATTCTTAATTGGTTAAGAAAATTGGCATTGCTATTTTTGCAACAACATAATCATTAATTATATTTACATTACTCAGGACTTTATGAAACATCATATGTATCTTTTAATATTAATTTTGTCAAGGTGATGTACAGAGTGATCTAAGTAAGGTAGTGATTACATTTTTTTTGGAACTTGTTAGTCCCTCCCTTATTTTTTTCCCTTTCCCTCCCTCCTATCCCCTCATATGTATCTTTAAATTAGCAATTGATAATTCCTTGAGAAGGAAAGGGAAGTAAAGTGACACCCACATTAAATATGAAAACCACCAATAATTTGTGAACAAAGTAAGAAAATTTTCTCAGTATTATATGCCTAGCATTGCATATGAATGCAGCTATTTTCCTTGTATTCCAATATTGTATCCTATATAATGCAGGAACTCCTTGGAAACAGAGGTAAATTTGCAATGTACATATATAGATTATCCTTTTGTATAAAAGTTAAGTGGAAAAGGTCAAAAGCTATGTACATGACCATATAAGATGATGCTAAGCGAAATGAACATCAAGATAGGGACACAGAGGTTTTATCTTTCTTGCTGTTGTTTCTAATGTATTTATAATGTACTATATGATTTTTTTTGTTTCTTTTGTATCGTCTTCCCCTATGGTACAAACCCTGTTTTCACTGTATTTGATTCCTCTGCCCTGCATCTTGTATATACATTTTCTAATTTGGGGAAGGAAGGGAAATAACAAAATGCGGAAATAATGATACAGGTTGACCAGTTGTAACAATGAGATGTGCAAGACAATATGTTGAAAACATTATGTGGGGGAGGGAGGAGTGGTTGAGGTAGGAAGGAACTGATGGTAGGGGAAAAACAAAGGACGAGGTAACAATGCTTGATAGGAAATGTACTCATTACCTTACTCATGTAACTGCAACCCCTCTGTACAGTATCTTTACAATGGTATAATTAATATAACTCCTTAGGTAAACATACAATTAATTTTCATTGGTGATTTTCTATGTGATTTGAAATACTTAACACTGAAATGTTGTCTCTGATTTAAACTGTAATAATAATAATGCTGATTTAGATTCCCTATTCATTTTCTATTGCTTCAAATAAAATCATTACAAGCTTAAAATCTTAAAACAATGTCTGTTTATAGTCTCAAAGTTTGTCAGGTTGGAAGTCTGGTATGAGTATAGAAATCTCATTGGAAATTGATGCAAGAAATCTGAAAAATATTTATAGTGTTTTGCTTTAGAATTCAAATATAAAGCAATATATATAAAGCTGCAGTAGGCATGGATGGGGGTTGGAGGAGAAAGAATCCATCATTAAAATGTCTATCTCTCCTAATATATAAATTTCTGAACTTTGAGTAAGTACTATCTGTCATCCTGTGAAATTATATGGCACATACTCTCACCTGTCCAATCGGTGCACCTGGATGGAATTTTATAATCTGCTTGGCAGAGTCCTCGTGATGAAGGAGCATACATTTTTTTCTGCAACCCATGACTTGACACCAAGAATGCTCTTCAAGACTGTGAAACTGGCAAAATAACCACAATCAAACGTGTTTCTGTGTGTGTGTGTGAAAATACCGAACAGAGGGGTTACAATTACATGGGCAAGGTAATGAGTACATTTCTTATCAAGCATTGTTTCCTCCTCCTTTGTTTACCCTTCCCATCTCTCACCTTCCCCGTCCCACGCACCAAAGTTGTAAAGTTCCTTTTTTTCGACATAACGTCTTGTACATCTCATTGTTGCAGTGGGTCAGATTTTATCCCTATTTAGAGAATTTGTTCTTTCCCTTCCCCTCCACAAATTATACCAAGATCAAATACAGTGAAAACATGGGTTATAACATGGAGGGACATACAAAGCATCAAACGTGTTTCTAAAGAAAGCACATCTGCGCACTCTCCGCTAGCCTTATTTCTCCAGTGTCCTGCGACTGGATTTAAATTCTGAAGACCTCCTTGAGCTGCTCGAGGTGCTTTCTGCATTCCAGTCCTCGATTCCCCTCCTACCTGTCCTCAGCTATCTGCTCCATTGAGGTTACCATATTAACTGCATGGCTGCCAGGCGCTGGTGGCTCAGACCTATAATCTTAGATACTCAGGAGACTGAGATATGAAGATTGTGGTTTGAAGTCAGTCTGGGCAAGAAAGTCCCTCAGATTCTTAGTTCCAGCAAACTACTCAGAAAAAAAGCCAGAAGTGGCACTGTGGCTCAAGTGGTAGAATGCTTAAGTTCAGCAAAAATAAGCTCAGAGACAGTGCCCAGATTCTGAGTTCAAGCCCCAGGACAAGCACCAATAAACAAACAAACAAACAAACAAATGAGCCAAGCCCAGTCAGTCATGTCTGTAATCTTGTCTAGGTCTACTTGGAAATCTGAGGTTAGGAGATCAAAATTTAGAGCCAGCCCAGGTAGGGAAGATAGGAAGATGACTTCTTCACTCAGAGTGGTGTGGTGCACTCCTGTCATTCAAATCTGACAGCTGGAAATCTGGCTGCCTGTGATTTTGTGCCAACACAGGCAGAAATGTCTGCTAGACTCCATGTCAATGAAAGGAAACTGGACCTAGTAACACATATCTGAAAGCTGGACAATGATGATTAGTCTAAATGATCTACATGCATGCCCAGATGAGATAAAATCCCATCTCACAAATAACCAGCAGAAAACAAGGATATAAGTGTGGCTCAGCAGTAGAGCATGAGGATAGCAAATGTGGTATTCTGAGTTTAAAGCACATAAAACCAAAATATATATTATATAAGTATCTAAATATTTAGTAGAATAATTACATTAATATATTAACCTATTATTATATGTATAGTTCATATTTATATCCTATAGTTATATATTATGCACACACATATATAATAACAAACATACAGGTCAACAGAATAGAATTGAGGATGCAGAAATAAACTTGCCTACTTTCAGCCATTTCATTCTTAACAAAGATATCAAAAAATGTACACAGGAAAGGAAAAACCTCTTTAGCCAATGGTGCTGGAAAAATTGAAATTCTATATGTAAGAAATGCACGCTAGATTTTTTTTATCTCTCACACTACAAAAAAGTCATTCCCAAATTAGAAGATCTTAATGTAAACTCTGAACTTTTGAACCAAGTACCAGAGGCTCATGCCTACTAGATTGCTATCTGACCTGCTGTGACAGAGATTCACTGGAGTTTGAGGCCAGCTCACACAGAAAACTTCACAAGATGCCATCCTTTTTTTTTTCATTTGTGAAAATTACTTCTATACACACCACAGAAAATATTTGAACAATACAATTGGCTCATGTGATTTGCATTGAGTTACTGGAAAATTATTTTTTCCTTGGTAATATTAGACATTGAACTACTCTATCACTTGAACCACAACTCTAATCCTTTGCTTTTAGTCTGTTTTTCAGATAATGTCTCTCGATTTTGCCTAGGCTTGTCTTAGACTTCCATCTACCTTCCTCTAGCTTCCCTCTTATGTGCATTTGCATATACCATTTGTGGAGTCAAGAATGTAGAGTCATCAAAAAACAATGCAACAAATAAGGCCCTTTGTTTCTTGAGTCCTGTTTACTTTGTCATTATCTTGTTGCATTTGTGTTTTGAATTGAACATTCACATATCAGGGAGACCATGTGCCATTTTTCTCTCTGTCTTGGCTTATTTTGCTCAACATTCTAGCTCCATCCATTTCCCTGAAAATGTCATTATTTTGTCCTTTATAATGGCTGCATAATATTCCATTGTGTCTAGGTACCACAAATTTGGATCCATTCATCTATAGTGGGACATCTGGGTTGTTTTCTAAGAGTGGTATGGGTGGGTGGTAGGGAAGTCTATGTTTAATTTTCTGAGGAACCTCCAGACTGCTTCATAGAGTGGTTGTGTCCATTCCCATCAGCAGTGCAATAGGATTCCTCTTTCTCCACATCCCTTCCTGCAATTGTCGTTGGCTGAATGTAGGATGCAGGCCATTTTGACTGGGATATGGTGGTCTCTCAGGGTTGTTTTATTTGCATTTCCTTTACAGCCAGGGATGATGAACATTTCCTCATTTTTTCTTTACCATTTTTTTCTCCTCTTCTGAGAAGTCTCTCTTACGATTCCCTTGCCCATTGAATGATTGGTTTGTTAAATTTGGGAGGGATTCGATTTTTGAGTCCTTTGTATATAATAGGTATTAGGCCTTTGAAAAAAACACCTTCTTAACCAATAGCGGGGCATAGCACTACATTCCTGTGATCCCAGCCATGGTGAGAGCCTTAGTTGATTGTGCACGCATGCACCAGGGCAAAATCAAAACGACCTGCTTAAAAAGAACCAGCATGCACCAGAGGAACAAGTGTGTCATCACGCTCCTCTTGCTGCTTCAGAAGGCTCTGATTTCTGTGCAAGTAAGCCCCCATCACACTGGCTTTTTCTTAGATGTCATTGTGCCTCGTGGATGCATTGGCTTAGATTCTCCTACAAGTAAACAAGAGCACAAGTGTTTCTGATACATTTCGCACAGAAGCATGGCTCTGTCCTAAGCTCCCCTGTGACTTTTACTGTGGCAAGTGTGCATGCAGCAGGGCTTCCTTTGGGAATCTTAGTTTCCCCAGCAGCATCTCCTGTATATGGAATAAACCCTGCTGGTGTGGGCCACTTGTGTGCCTGCTTCTCCTCACCCCTCCACCCCTCCCCTCCCTGCTTCTCCTCCCCTCCCTCCTGCTCCTGGCTTCACAATGACAGAACAGGCTTCATGATTCCTTCTGCCATCACAGAGGCAATGACTCCCAATACCACACTGTCTCAGAGCAACTTTTGGAAGGTGTTTCTTCCTCCTGAGTCTGTAAATCTCCCCCAACCTCTATTCCCTTTGTGGTGAAATCCAAACGTGAATCATGGCTGTCTGGGGCTCAGTGAAGTATAAGAAAATTCATCTTGTTTGCTTTGAAAACAAACAAATAAAAAAGATGCCAGGTAGCCTCTTGGAGTTCTTTTGCTCTAAGGGCACTGATTTTGCAAAGCGTTTTATTGCACATAATAGCTTTGTGAAATTTGCAGATGGAATTACCTGATCAAATGGGTTTGGTTTATTTCCTATGGTTTGTGTTGCTATTGAAAGTTCATGATAAAACACAAATAACAAGAATACATGGGGCAGAGGACGTGGCCCAGTGGTCGTTCACAGCTCTGGGTGACACTTGGTGCTTCTGAGGAGTCCATGGCATTGCTGGGAGGAGGAGCACATGCTGCCAGGGTGAGGAAAGATGAAAGCTGCCAAAGTACTTTATCTGCAGGTGTGAGAATACAACCATGACACTTGCTCACATCTGTGTGGGAAGTGAGGAGGAAGGAGGAAGGAGAATACCTGAAGAGCTGAGGCAGTTCAAGGTATATCACATGCACAAGTAGACATGTCAAAATGAAATCCCCTTGCAAAATTACCATTATATATCTAGAGATACCCTAGAGATATTTGCACATCTATCCTCTTTGTGGTATAATTCATAATAGCTATGTTATGGTTCCAACCTAGGTGACTATCAGCAGCTGAATGGATAAAGAAAATGTGATACACACACATACACTCACACACATGTGCGCACACAGACACACACACACACACACACATACCCTCTCATGTTTTACATCCATAAAGGAAAATAAAATGTTGTTTGTCATTTGCAAGAAAATAAAGAACTAGAGACCCTTATGCTATGGAAAATAAGCCAAACTCAAACACCCCATTTTCTATTTTATGTGGAATCTAGAATTTTTTAAATGACATGAAAATACAAGAGGGTTATTGGGAGGAGATGGTAGCAGTTCAGAGGAGAAGGGAGATGAATAGAGTGGTGAATGCAAAGGTGTACATTGAATATAGGTTTAAAATGTCATAATGATGCCAATTATTTGATATAATTTAAGCTAATCAAATTAAAGTTTAATATTAATTTAAATATCAAATTAATGATTAATTATAACCATGCTATATATACTAAAATGTGCATGAAAAGAAGATAGACTTCTAATAACTTTAGGTCATTACAACATTATTTTTCTCAACATTTTCCTCAACTAAATCAGAATAATTGTGATTTGTATAATACGGTTTTAGTGTTTTTTTAAAAAAAACATCATCATTAAGTATGTGTTTTATTCATCAGAAAAATTTCACAACTTTTACCGTATTTATACATTTTTGCATAATCTTTTAAATTTAAAACAATCATCGATATTTGGTAAGTAATTTTAACATATTCTTATTTAAAGTTTGTGTCAAATTGTCATCTTTTGTTCCTGGGGTCTGTGTAGGCACAACAATGCACTGCTTCATTTGTGTAAGGAGATTTTCCTTTGTGTCTTCAAAGTCACGTCAAATCCCTTCAAAATTAAAATCAGTGCTTCATTAGAACTTTCTTGTTCCTTTATCCTAATAGGATGGATACCCAACCTTCAATGATCACTTCATGACAAAATTAGGTTTCCAGCAATCTCCCTACTTCTTGAATGTCCTTGTACTTGTAAATTGTTCTGGTTAATAGAGTACATGCAGATTTAGGTATCATTGTACTTAGTTTTAAGTAAACTCATGTATTACTTTGTATTTTTCTTTGTGTTTCTACCATCATTTTAAAAATGGATTCCACTGACCAGTCCAGAAAATAGAAATGAGAGAGAGAGTAAATAAGAGAGAGAAAGAAAGAGAAAGAGAAGATGGAGAAAGAATGAGAAAGAGAAGAGACAGACTGACAGACAGCAAGGTAATTGCAGACACAGACACAGACCAGAGAGAGTCAGAAGAGACAGAAGCAGAGACAATGTTTCCATGATGTTGTTTATACATACCAATGTTCAAATAAATGTGGTTCTTTATATTTAGTCATTTCAACCTTGGCTGTAGCAGACACTACCTATACATAGATTGTTTGTGAAACTATAAATACTGCTATAGAACCTTCAGGTAACTGCACATAGTGCCCAGAAATGTTCACCAAATAAGTGACTGACACAGTTCTGTTTTTCACTGTAGATGAGGCATGTCTGTGTAAGCATTTAGGCTCAGTACTTCATTTCCTAATACAGTTTGCACCATAATTTATGTTATGCTAACCGATTTTCTATTCCTACACTTGTCAACACTTAAGGACCTTCCCATAAGTGTGTTATGACACGCACATTCTAATCTTCATGAGCCTGATCTGCCACAAGAGCACTTCTAAAAATACCATTTGCAACTATGCTCATCACTGCTACACTCAACATGGTGCCCGAGGACTTAGAAGCCATGTATGTGGCTCCAACACAGAGACTTTATTTTTTTAAAAAGCATCAAATCATACCTGAATGCTCCTTGAAAGATCTTCGATAAAAATGTTAAATTTCTTCTTGTTTAAATTACACTTCACTCCCACTGAAAATAAAGTAATCTTAAAATTGTCACAAATCTAGTGACAATTAAGTAAAATGTTGAAATCATTCCAGGTGTCTGGATTTGAATATTTGTTGGCCGTATCATTTTGAAAAGGCACATCTGTCTGCTCCTACTTGTCTCTCAAGTTTATGGCCAAGATCAATGGTGTCTCATGAAAATAAATGAGAAAATGCATGGGGGAGAGATATATAATGGTAAGTTGCTAACAGGATATCTCTTCTTATTATTTTATTAGAAAAAGACCATTTGCATATACTGAGGGCTTCCACGTAGATAAGCACTTCTGAAATGTTCCCATTGTCAGAAAATTCTAAGTAACCCCATTTTGGAATAGTGGTGACATTATTTTTTAGGAAAAGAAGATATTTGCTGAGTTTTACATCCACAATGTGTCCATATTGAAATAATACTAAACAAATGCTTCTAGCATATTGATCACTTTGATTTTCACAAAACTCTTAATCATTAGACAAATTGATATTCCTGTGATGGGCTTTATATTATTAACTTTTTATTCTTCAAGAAAAAGTTAGAGAGGGGAGACCAAGATGGTGATGGGACAGTAGGGAAATACCACAGCTCTCTCCAACAAAAAAGAGAGTTCGAGTTCCAAAGCTTAATTTCCCCAAGAGACTGACAACAACAAAAAGATGAACACCCAGAGAAAAACAGGAGGTGGGGAAAAAAAAAAAAAGGAAGAAAGAAAAAGAACAATTTCAGAACAGAGAAGCGTGAAGATCCCTCCCCCAACCTTTACTGGCTGTGCAGGAATGCACCAAGCCGCAGCCAGCCCTTCCGGGCGGCGGGGGCTGCCGAGTCCCCAGACGCATAGGAGGTCATCTGCAGATCACTGGAGCAGAAGGTGCCTGAGGCACCAGTGTAGGACCCACAGATCTTAATGAACAGAGAAACCTACGAGCCAGGATCCTGCACAAAGATCCCACCCCCACCCTTCACTCTCTGAGCAGAGGGGCTCCATCCCACCAAAGCCACTTAGCCCTACAGCAGGAACCCCTACACAGATCGCCCACAGAACACCAGAGCAGAAGACCTGCAAGGTACTGGTGCTGATCTGGAGAGCACACACAAAGACAAACCCCAGTGCTCAGAACCTGCATGGAGAACCCTCCCCCGCCCCTTGCCAGGAGGCCAGAGGCTACACCGACCCAAACAGCATCAACAGAGGCAGAGACAGAGGAGAAATATGAAGAGCCACTTCCACCTGGCCCAGCCCACAAGCATCTCAACTGAACTCTGATTGCAGCAGCAACCAGCAACTAACATCATACAGAAACAACTAGCACCAGGGTGAGTACCCCACAGGGGACAGTGTATCCCTTAAGGGAGACCAGAGATGGTGGGAACCCCTAGACCTTGACCCAGACCCCTACCCCAACACCTGGACTACGGGACCCACTAAAACTGGGAACAGTTCAGCCATGCTAGATCAAGAGCACACCTGGAAGGGAGCTTAAACACCCAAGCCAGGAATAGCTCCTCTGGGTCACAACAGTCAACAGTAGAAGAAACCTGAACTGTGTACTCCAGGCTGCGTAATCCAGGCAGGATACACAGCAGCACAGGTCCAACTGGCATGCCCCAGGCTGGGCACTGGGAGCCAAGACCAAGCCTGGGGAATCCAGTGCCTGAGCAACACAACCGACCCCTCCCAATTGAAGTCAGAAGCTGAGCATATGCCTCAGCAGAGGGGGGAAAACAGGGAACTGCATCCCCTGAGAATCACACCCGTGACAACAAAAGACCTGGGTGTCTAGGGCAAGAGAACCAGAAGCCCAAACCCCACCAGAACCCTATCCATATATCCCAGACAAGGAATTGAACAACTCAGGCTGCCAGCACCTGATAATAGTCAAGAGCTCAGGCTGGTAAGGTGGCTCAGTGGTAGAGTGCTTGCCTTGTGTGCATGAGGCCCTGGATCTGATTCCTCAGCACAGCATAAGCAGAAAGGGCCAGAAGTGGCTCTGTGGCTCAACTGGTAGGGTGCCAGCCTTGAGCTGAAGAGCTGAGGGACAGCGCCCAAGCCCAGAGTTCAGGCCCACAACCGTCCAAAAAAACCACAACAACAATGAAAACAAACAATAAAAACAATCAGGAGCCTGTAGCAGACTCCAGCAACTGGGAGAGAACATCTAGCACATTCAGTCTTGCCAAGAGCACCTGTAGGAGTAAACAGGAGCAGTCAAGGCCACTCAGTCTTTCTAAAGGCAGGAACTGCCAGTGATCTATGGCAAAGAGCTGAGAGCCCTACATAGGTCAGACCAGCAGCTGGAGGTCAGCCCCCAACAGAACTGAGACTAGGTACAGAATCTCTCTGCCAGCCCAGAAACAGCAACCAAGCAAAGACAGACACCTATTGACCAAAACAAAATAGTCTCCAATAATACCTAAGTCCTCATGTGAAAACCACAGAGAAAAATTACAAGGTTTATCAACACCCAGGATAGCAAGCTATCCCCAAAAGCCAGCAGCCACCCAGGGGAGAGCCACAGTGGGAGCAAAGCAGGAATGGAAAACAAAAGCTATAAGAGATGCTGGAGGTAATGACTCAAGAATTAAAGGGGGAAATAGACCAGGAATTTAAAGAACATAGGGACGAAATATCAAAAGAGATGCAGGGTCTCAAACAGGAGGTGAACGAAAAAATAGAGATAGTACACACCTCACTAAGAGGTGAGATTAGTACAAAAATAGAGGCAGTGCACACCTCACTAAAAGGTGAGATTAGTACTTTGAGAACCAACATCATATTCATAAATGAGTCCATTTCCTCCATGCAAACCACAATGGAAGCCATAGTTACAGAGTGACCAAAATGGAATTTAGAGCGTCAGATACAGAAGACAGAATACACCAACTGGATCAAAAAGTCACAGATATAGAAAAATCACTTAAATTATGCCAAAAGGAAATCCAATAGCAAGCAGATAGTGCGAAGAAATTTATCCTTCGTATAATTGGAGTGGACAAAGGTGAGGAATATCAAAGCAAGTGAATGCAACACCTATTCGACAAGATAATCGGTGAAAATTTCCCCCATCTTAAAAAAGGACATCTTACCTACATAACAGAAGCATATAGAACACCTAACAAGCAGGATTCCAGGAGAAACACTTCTAGATACATTATAGTAAAAATGATAGATCTGAATAATAAGGAAGCAATCTTGCATGCAGCAAAAATGAAGAAGGAGCTATACTACAATGGGAAAAAAATTAGAATCACTGCAGATCACTCCACACAGACACTGAATGCAAGAAAGGCCTAAGAAAGTACCATCCGAGCCCTGAGAACCAATTACTGCCAGCCCAGGCTGATATACCCGGCAAATCTAGCATTCAAATTCGATGGAGAAATTAAAGAAAAGCTAAATGTATTAATAAATAAGCCAGCATTACAAAGAATACTAAAAGGGGGAACACAACCTGAAGAAAGCAATCAGGAATGGGGACCCGTACCAGATAGGTATTAATAGAAGTTTAACTTAGTAAGCACTGGAGAAAAGGAAAGATGAAAAAATTAGGAAAACAGGGAATGACATTGACCACAATGCATCTCTCTATAATAATCTTAAATATCAACGGACTTAATTCACCAATCAAAAGAAAAAGAAATACACATTGGATCAGAAAACATGACCCATCCAGGAGACCCAAACATACAAACATACAAACAAACTCAGAGTAAAGGGTTGGAAAAGGATCTACCAATCAAATGCAGTAAGAAAGCAGGAGTAGCTATCCTGATATCTGACAAAACAAACTTTTCATTAAAATCAATACAAAACGACAAGGAAGGACACTACATATTAATACAGGGAACAATCCTAGAGGAGGATATTACCCTCATCAACTTATATTCCCCAAACATTGGTGCACCCAGATATGTTAAGTAAAAACTCTCAAACTTACAGAATAAAATAGATCCCAATACGATAATACTAGGAGACTTTAACACCACACTCTCACCAAAGGACAGGTCTACCAACCAGAGGATTGGCAAAGAAGCTACCGAATTAAGTGAGGCCATACTTCAAGCAGAACTAACTAACATCTACTGAGTATTTCATCCTGAAACAACACAGTACATGTTCTTTTCAGCAGCTCATGGAACTTTCTCCAAAATAGACCATATCATAGTTCATGTAAAGAACTTAAGCAAATACAAGGGGATTGACATAATCCCCTTTATCCTATTTGACCACAGTGGAATCAGGCTAGTTCTCAATAACAAAGCATACCACAGAAATTATTCAAAAACATGGAAATTGAACAGCACACTTCTAGCAACACAGAAGAAA